CGGGATGAACGTAGGTGGTCTCATCGGTGCCCGAAACAGTCGCAAGAGTGTATAAAGCTGAGTAAGACTATCAATCACGCTAGAAGAAGCTGGCGGGGGTGGAGTTCTCTCTTCTGGTTGGGTTTTGTTCCCTGGCTCGCTGACGTTTACGCGGGTAATTGCTTTCCCGACCCGTGTGCTCTGCGACGTCGTGCCGGACGATCTTCTGAATACGGGACGAGAGAGAGACGGTGTTTAATCGCGCGCGATAAATCTGCCCTATGCATGCAAGAATCGTTTATTGTTACGTTAATAGGCAACGTTAAGAGAGAATGATGGTGTGTTTGCTACGAGTGGATACCGCCTGTCGACGACATGCGCTCTTACACGCGTGTTTTCGCACGATTTCAAAGCATGATTTCGCTCGTGTATACCGTCAACAATTCAATTCCCGAGCGACCGCTTTAAATTATTTAATAAGTATTTACTGTAGAAAATACTACTTTTATTCAAGTTTGAAACGTCCCCAGTAAACAGCAGACGCCAAATTACTGACCAGCTCGACAGTCGAAGGACTCCTAGAATACAATATACAGAGTATCCCGATGGTACTGGCCCATTACCAGCTCGGAATGATGAAAGGAAACTAGACACGACCACTGCCTCGCTTGGTGGTTGAGATGTACTCGGTCCACGTCACCAGAAACGTCTTGGCCATATCGATTGGTGCTAGAGAATCCATAAAACGCGAGAGTGGCTATTACCGAGCGAGAGCATTGTGCTTCTTTGGCACGTAAATCGGTCACAAAGTTAGACTCCTCTATATGACTCTTGCTGTGGCGTTAATCGTACTGTCTACATGTCAGTCTTCGACCACCTATGAATTTCAGCATCGTTTCACGAGAAACAGATCTTTAAGATTAATCTGTTGTATAAATGGGGCCGGTTCAAGAAGCCACGCGCAACCGCTGCTAAACGAATCTGCGTTATCGTTCGCGGTGATTCATAGATCGTTCCGTAATCTCGGAATCCACGGAACATCTCACCTGTGCGCCATGGCCAGCGATTGGCAGACGACAGAATCCGTAAAACTGGAGAGCGGTCGTTAGAGAGATAAGCTCGGGGAGCTTCCACAGTTAAATGCTCTCTCGCGCGTGGTCACGCCGGTCGGCCATAATCCTTTTAGGCTGGCAGCCCTTCGGTTCTTAAAACATTTTCTGTACAGCACGGGCTTAACGGCTTACTACTTGAGGGCAATCTGTAAAGTGCCCGCTAGGACCAGCAGAGTTGCTCCTCGACCCATTAACAGGCCACTTACCGCCAGGGCCGAGCAGAGGCTGATCGAAGGGACGACCACTCGCGCCACCGAACGCTCCGGCCTCGAGGACTCCCATAATGAGCTCATTTTTTATCGCCAATGTGCTCCCCGAGACTCCCCGATACCTTCAATTTGTATTTGCACTCGGGGTACGAGTGTCCCCGGTACCGTGCAGCGTGAAAAAGTTCTCACCTTTCCAGCCGCCCGTTGCATCGGATAACGATAACGACGCCATACTCTCGCGACGACTCCCATTCGGTGTCCAAAGCTATTAATTCGTATCGGGAGCAATGGTTGCTTCTGGTGAAACGCGTGTGGATGACCTCCGCGAGCATCGAGAAAATTTTAATCGAAAGTCTCGATCGACTAGGACACTGGACCAGAATCCATTCGCGTCCGCGTTGCAAAGCAAAGGAGTAATCCGAGGAGACTCCTGGAAATTCTCGCAGCCATTACCGATCTCGGTGCACCAGTCACTCGTAGACATATCTATAGAATGTTTCCTTATGCCTCACGAGTGACTCAGGGGCTGCTGCAGAGTCGGAGATGCTTGCTGAGATTTCCCATGGGTAGCCGTGTAACTAGGACCCACGGAACAAGTTGGTTTGTAGGCCTTGGACGTGCTACTTTACATAGAATCGTGTCATAAGTCTGATTCCGGCCGCGACACGAGCTGTCAATTACGAAGAAGCAATCGGATTTGCATGAATTGTCATTATTAGAGACGAGGATTGCTCCAATTGTATGTTAATCTGTCCGAGAATTCTACATTAATTATTCGAAATCCCTCTTTTAAAATTCCTCGTAACGAGTGATTCGAAATGTTTCGAAAATGTATAATAATCGTCGGATCTCTAATTACCACGTGTCATCCGACGCTTCGATCGGTAAAACACAACAGGTTGTGAAAGAGAGAAGACAAAGCGTCGGAGGAACAGAGAGGAGACGAGATTGGCGAACGGATATCGGTGCGAGTGGCTACAAGCCCTGTCGGGAGCTCGGGCGCTTGTAATTCCGTTGCTAGCCTGACGTTCCAACTCGTTAGAAAACGAACGTGGCCGAATTCATTGGAATTAGTCGACAAAGCGTGATCGCACTTGGCCGACAACCTTTACCGGTCCTGCCAAAAGCCATGAACGAGACCCGGTGACCACCGGAACTGCGCGAACAAACCGTACTACAGGCCGCAACAAGCTGTCTCGAAACACACGGACAGAAATTGCCACGTATCGTCGCACCCACGCACAAGGGGTTCGCAAACTCTTCTGTAAATACCTCTGTAACCCACTCGTCGCCATCGATAATTATCGGCATCGCGGAGCAACGAGAATACTATTGTCAGGACATTGTCAGGCATTGCAATTTTATTGCAATTTTCGGTGCATTTCTTAAACATGTGCCATTTACCGAAAGTTTGTCAAGAAAACAGTACTTCCCATTGCGCCTATGAATCATTTCGAGCCTACACGGTCGCAAGATGGTCGCTATCTGCCTTTAAGGATATTTATGCTTCCTGCAACTCGAAAATTCCTACAGCTCGTTCGTAGTCAGAGCCAAATGGGTCACACGATTACACGAACTGCTTCTATTATCTTTTTGCCCTGATTCCAAGGCCCGAGCGCGACGCTCACTCGTAATGACACGCCCCGGCGTGTTTGTAGACCGTTCTCGAAACACGTGATCAATACGGGAGGAAAAAATAATTTCATGTCAAGCGCCATTTTCCAACCGTGCAGCTAACGTCCGCGAGAATCTGCAAGCGTCGGACCACTCGTGATCCCGACGGTGTCGTCATTAACACGACAACCACTTCAGCGCTTTTTTTTTCACCACGCCACCCCGCGAGCATTCTATGTCCGCCCCTGTCTCCCTTCGACTTATCCGCGTTCACGCCCCGCGTTATCCGTTCATCTCTTCCTGGCTCGCGAACTTGTATTTGTTGGATGTTTTGCGGCCGGTTGGCTCGTGCTGATTCCGACTCTATTGTCCAAGACATATTTTTTTTCTCGAGCCCTTTCTGGCGGGTACAGGGCGGGGGAAAAGAGACAGGTTTGCGAGAGACCATACAATGGTCCCTCCTCGACGAAGAGGGTTGCGTCCACAGGGGTGGTCACGCAAAATCGACAGGTAATAAGGCAAACTTTTGTCGGAACGAAGGTGGTCTTCACCAGTACCGAGAGGTGAGAAAATTCCATAAGAGAGGTAGGGTCAGAAATCTTTGGGGCTAAATTGGAAGTTTGGAAACAATGGACGGGGAGAAAAAGATGAAATCAGCTAGGAATTTCAACTAGTCATCTTTAAGAGAAAATTGGCTCCTTTTTGTTTCTAAACACGGATTGAAAAATATCTTGACAAACGTTTCGCTTTAGAAATCGGAGTCATCGAGGAAGAGGTTCGTGGTGGAGCCAGAGGCACGTCATACGTTAGATATTTGCACATTCGCAAGTACTTTCGGTACTCTCCTACCAAACGAGGAAACGCTGGAAGAAGCTCTTTCCTCGCGGCACTGTACGTCGCTCGTAAGTTTCGGCCAAGTTTCTGCAGCGTCAAACAGCAACGGCCCAAAATTCGTACACTACGATTCAAAAGGCATATAACTTTCTTCGGAAACTGTGGATACAGTTACGAACAGCTGCGATTTCATTGACGCGAGATCCGCTACACCTAACTTCTCGACACTGACGAAGATATTAATTAGAACGCGTGGAAAAGCAAACCTTGGAACGATACGGTGTCACGCGTTTCAAGAGGGGATAATGTTCAAAAATAACCAAAGACCCAAATATTGTACAAACTCGGAAAATTGATCGATCCAAGCCTACACAACTGTGCTTACAAATTCTGATTTACCGTGACCCAAATTTTTGACGAAATTATGATGAATAAGCGGTTAAAGAAATTGAATAGTTTTCTACGCGTACTTTTTACGAAAAAGAGTCGATCATTTACGTCAAGCTGGGAAGGAACATTGGCCCAGTGTGCACGACGGCTCGAACCGATCCTCCAAGTGCCAATTTAAACTTCATCAACGTTAAGCTGAATCGGTGATACGTCTCCAGAGGTCTCAGGTGGCCCGTTTGAAAAGGTTAAATTCCGCTCGTAAAACTTCCGGGCGGATTTCTTCGTTCCCGAAAAGTCTCGAAATCGACGTTGCGCGGGTCGCGTGCACCGAGTGACCTCGTTCGAATGAAGAGAATCACGTGGTCCGTTAATTTCTGCGTTCTCGAACCGCAGGGAGGACCGAGGCAAAGGGTCAGAAAGAACGCAGGACACGGAATCGCGTGCCCACGGGACGCGACGGAATTCGAAAATGAACCGTTCTCTCAAAGTTCGAAAGAAAACCGTGAAGGAAAGATGCGACGTTCCGCCATTGGCAGATTAAAGCGACGTCAGTGGTCTTTGATCATCGTCCAAGGAGCAAGAAAGAGCCCAGAGGAGCATGAAATGCGAGCATTAGCACGCTGTAGGAGCGACAAATTCTCCAGAGAATACCGACTCGCTTTTACCGTCGACTTGCAAGCAACGACAATCGGATGAACGGAGGATACGACTGTCCTGCGACGTCGGAGGAAGACAGTGCCGAGCAAAGGCGAAGAATAAGGCACGCGCTTCAATCCGAGACTACTCCAATCAGGCATCCGGTCTTTTCAACGCCGACAAGAGAAAGAAAACAAAAAATAAAGAAACTTTTTTAGATACTCACGAAAACGAGGTAAGATTTCTTCATGGTACCCGTCGTCGTGAATCGTCAAAGCTGTTGTTCGTGTCGTTTCCTCCCTACGCGCTTATTCAACGTCGTGACTCCTACGTTCGTTCGTGCTCTGTCCTGTGAGCTTTCGTCAAAGGTTCTCGACTTCCCACCGCGTATAGGCTGCGCCCTCCAAGAAAGGGCGCATCGAGGAACCGGTCCAACTCTCCTTCGAAACGAATCACCGCCGCAGTGTTTCACTTAGCAATTTTCATCACACTAATTCACCCTATTGCGTGGTGCGATTTACACATCACCACTTGGAGACCGTACCTGACCCGCCACGTGACGGGAAAGATCGACGAATGATTCGAAACGAGAACTCGAAACGCGGAGTCGCGCGAGACCGTGATCGTTGAAAAGCGAGGATTCGAATGATCTCTTGGCGCGGTACGACGTCGTCGTCGTCGATCCGCGAAGGGGATGTTTCAAACGCACGTGTCTAACGATATCCCGGGCGATGTCGTCGGGCCGAAGTGCGCCGCACGAGTGTCGGCCTTAACGTCTCGAAAGCGCTTGACGTTGGCGCCCGTGCGACCAAGGTGGGGGCTGGAGGGGTTCGCGGAGAAACACCACTATTCCCTTCTCCCCCGCACCCACCCCCACCCCCTCCATTCGCATCTAACCGACTCCAACCCTCGTACACCCTCACCGCGACTCGGTCGCTCTCTCGCTTCGTCTCTTTCACCCCTTTCGGGCGTACCCGCCGACCCTGCTGCGTCCACCCATTTCGCGTTGGTGCCGAGGTTGAAATAAAGTGCTGCCGTAGAGGTGGTTCGGCTCCACGACCAACGGATAAGAGCGTCGAAGAAGGACGATCTCATCGAGACACGGAAACGAGAGAGACGGGGACAATGAGAGCCCGCGAGGTTGCGGCGATCGCGCGGGACGAACGTTCGAGTTTGGTTTACGTGCGCTCTGCTGCCAACTTTTAGTGTTTCTGTTTCAATATTAACGTTACTATTTCCTCTTTGCTCTCGTAAGCACACTAGAAACTCCAATTATATGAATCGATTGGGAGACACGAGTGGACACACCGAAGAAATATCACGTTATTATATCTGCGTGATTCTTTCGAGAAGTTTCCGATTTTTGAAGGAAAAACACGGGGATGACCACGGAAGAATCAAAATGGTCCTCCATTCGTCGGACGTTTCTTAAGTATGGCGAACGAGGAGCCAGCGAGTATCGAGAGCACCGTGATGATCCTCGCTAGCATTGTTCAAGGAAATGATCGCGGGGTTGCGTTTCAGAGAATACAGGTTACAGTATGGTTGTACGTAATGCGCTCCGGGGGTTGTTTTTTTATTTTCTTTGTTTTCGAAACCAGGGGAGGAATTTAATTCTGGAAAATGTCTCGAGAGTCTTTGTTCATCGTTTGGATGGCGCTTCACGGTCGTTTACTTTGTTAGAAACTTGAATGATTGTCGTGAGAACTTTCCGGGAATAATATTTTTTTGCAATTTCAGATAGAAAACGGCGAGAAAAGTTAACGGGAAACTTTCTGCAATTGTACAAACAGGAGAATAATATTATGTCGAGTCAAGTACGTCTGAAAAATCCAAATATATGTCTCTGAATATTTAATATTCGATAACTACGAAATGCATAAGATGAATGGAACGTGGTGGAATATTATGACGTCTCCTTAGAACCCTGTTCGATAACGTATTGACATCGGCCGACAGGTGGATAAGAAAAAACGGTTGTAAATAACCTGATCCCGTGGTGTACGGACAGAATTTTATAGCTCGGCGAATTTCCTGATTTACCAAGGAAATATCTTTTGTGTAACGGGCCGGGGAAGATAGATTCCGGCGACGGAGATTGAAGCGGCTCGATGGAGATTTATCGACGTTGAAAATCCAACGGGGTAACGTCGCTATCCGGGACTATTATTTGAAAGCTTGTCAATGCGTCAAAAAATCGGTCAGCGTAGAAATGATTACTGTCGTGTACCGCGGTGCGTTCGTTGTTTGATGAACGTTAATCGAAACGTTGACCCGGTTCCTGTGCGTGTGGGTGTGCGAACGCGCGTACTCTACGCACACGCGCGCTAAATCGAACGTCTATTTGTTCTGCGTGCGGACTGTGTATGTGAGAAATGATGCGTGCGATCTGGGACCACCGACGTAACAGCGTATATTGTCAAACGTTTTTTCTTGTTCATTTTTTTTTTTTTTTAGTTTACGTCGAAACAGGAATTTCTATTGTATTAAGTCGTGCCACATGAAATCGCCGATATTTAACCAGTTGAAGATGGATTGCAATTGTTGGAGTAAAGTACTAGACTTTTCCTTATTGAAAATTCAACAGTATGAAAGCAAATTAATATTACCGTTCAATGTGGAAAGTACATATTACGCGAAACAATTCTATTTTTTTTTTGTTTTATATTTGTTAAAAGAAAATTTCAATACCGGTTGAAAAAAAGTTGAAAAAAAGTAAAACCAAATAATAATAATAATAATAATGTTTGCTCTGTTTAATCGTTTAATATTCGACAATTTTCACGATTTATCGAATTTCTATAAACACACGTGTCCAGTAACTGTGAAAGCCGACTTGTTAAAAAGGCCGATATTAAAATATTGGAAATAAATGGACTGCTCGAAAGAATTGAACCTAACCTGGATCCGTTCATAGAACTTTAACCTCCGATAAACTGTTCAATATTGTAAACGGCGATGCATTATTTGCAATACGGGTAGCTATTGTTATGCTTCCATAACACTTTTATGTTTGTACAATTATTTACAAGTTGTACAAATGTCGATATAGAGTCATATATACTTCAAAAATTGCACCCTTGTACTACGATTACCGAGACACCCTGTATTTTATTTTCCAAACACGGAATTAAATTTACATCAAAGGGATGATTTAAGATAGATTAAAGAAACATCTTGACAACGATCTACAAATAAGATAAATGACGGAATACTTGTATTATCCGAGCGGTGTTAACGTCGGGACGATAAGAAGCACGGAAATCGAAGCGCCTTAAAGCCTTTGACATCCCCTAAGGTGCGAAATCCCAGACGCTCCCTTCTTTAGGGCGGGATAAGCGCTTAGCAAAGGCTGAAGGGGGTCGCCAATTTCGTATAAAACCTTCTTTCTTTTTCCGGTATATTTATTTCGATGAAAGGCAGCGTGTTAAGGCTCGTGTATCCCGGGAAGGAAGGGGTGGAAAAAGCGACGGGAATAGAGAAGCGAATATTCAAGATCGTTCGTCGAGCAATGCTGTAGCGAGAGAACATCGAACGGGGCGAAATCTTGGCGCTAAAACTGCCCGAAGTTTATTATTTCGGGCTGAAAAACTTTTCTATTAATTCCTGAACGACGAAAGAGAGAAAGGGAAGAAGGACGATGAAATCAGAAACTTTGAAGTACCTCCAATTACCGAATAAAAATGAAAATCTCATTATACCGGTTCTCCTACCGCAACGTTTAATATCGAAGTTAGTGCAACTTTTGTTTTCGGGGTAGAAATTGCCCGGTTATAAGAGCGCCGCGCGTGCAATTAGCGAGGGACGATACCAAATCGATTAAAAAATAAATGAACGACGAATGTGTGTTCGTATTTCTTGTTCGTTTGTCAGCGATCAGTGTTTCTGATTTTTGTTCGAATTAAAATTCGTTCCTTTGGTTTGGCAAACGCGAAGCCGTCCGCGTAACCGCGTTGCTTCTGGAACGAATTCAAGAAATAAATGAAAAATTCTGCACGGGGATGGAAATGTACGAAAAAAATGCATATTCTTGCAGCTGCAAACGATCCGCGCGCCCGCGAAACGCATACAACGCAAATAAAAGCGCGAATGGTGCGCCTATAAAATCAATTTCTATCCGTGCAAAACCTCCAACTTCCCGTCCGCGAACCAAAACGGAGGCGTGCGAATTTCGCTGCGAGCTTACACGTAACTAACGATGGAACCAACCCAACGACGCATTCATTAGCCAACCCTCTCCACCTCTACCGGTCGATCGCCACGCGCAATTTGTTCAAATCGATCACTCTGTGCGCTCGAGATCAAGGAATTTGGCGGTGGCCGAACAAATCCAAGTATGGCCATGTGGCTCGCCGTGGTTTCCGGTTTATTTTATCCCGACCAGGTGCGCCGGCTAACAGCCTCCTTTTTTTCCTTCCTTTATTTACCTACGTACACGTATTCGGAGCAATAGGTTCGCGGCGGAACAGGCGTTACCTGTCCTCCGTTACGCCCGCGCGAGCAATAAATTATCTTCTCTCCGAGGGGACGAATTCACGCGGGGACATCAAGGAAAAATTATGTACGGGTCCACCGGTGTTTCCAAAATTCGTCAACCCCTCTGAGGTAGCGCGATCTACAATTTATTTATATACATCGTCGAGTACAGTTTACACTCAGACTCAACCCCAAAGCGCTCATCCAGATTATAGGATTCCCTTGTTAATTGCAAGCATTACGAAAGGCCAACCAAAACGTCTGACCTAATACAACTCGTAATTCCCTCTAGGGTTGATCTTTCCTTCACTATGCGATGCTGAGATCTAACAAGGGCTGTGTTCAACGACACAACAACCTACATTACTAAGGAAGCGTACACACTTTTTAACCCCAACTATCTGACTTTCGCATCGGGCGTTACCGAGTCCCTTTATCTTTTCGATAAGAAAACATTCGCAACACCTGCTCTTCCGGTACCAAAACGACTATACCTTTCTAACTCCATGAATAAAGTGATCTGGGAAAATTTACTTACGCGAGCAAGCCCCGACCGTTTACAGGAAGAGCGGAGTGCGTTGCTAGCGCGGGGCACAATGAACAATAGACCTCATCTCCTTATATCTACACGTGTAAGGACGCGGTCGCGTGACACCGCAGGGTGTTTCGGTTAGGTAGGAAACGCGAGGTGCGCGTGTTCGATCCACGACGGCGCACCAAGACACGCGACTCGTTCGTATAATGTCGCCGTTTATGCGGCGCACGTGCGCGAACAGCTGCATTTTAAAATCACGGATTCCGGCGTGCAATTTGTCAGAAAATTCGCGCGGCCGTCGACGTCTACGGTGGAAAGTCGGCTGCAAAACGGTTCAACCCTACGGTGGCCCGGCGTGAATCGCTACGACCTCCGACCCCACTTTGACGACATCAATTTTACCCGTGTAAGGACAATCGATTCCTGCCCACGAAGATCCCGACGACGACGACGAGGGACGAACAGACGCTGAGAAATCGTCGACAGATTTTTCTGTGACGGAAATACGACGGCGGACGGTGAACGTTCGATTATTGACGGCTGAAGAATTTTATACCCGTAACGCGTAAGGAGAATTCTTACCCCTTCCTGGCGACGAATGACGATCACACGTCGAACAGTGATACGTACGCGGGGGGTGGCGCGCGAAATGCAGATTTCAGATCCGTTCCTCGATGGCTTCCACGATCGCTAAATCGAATTTTCGTTTCAG